ACCCCAACCCCAACCCCAAACCCAAACCCAAACCCAAACCCAAACCCAAACCCAAACCCAAACCCAAACCCAAACCCAAACCCCAACCCCAAACCCAGAATTTTGCCCACCTACTATTGATTTCTATTTCCAATTTACATTCTTTCATCTTCATCCTTAGGAACTCCTTCATCCCATAATAATTATTCTTCTCCATCCAGCAGCTCATCATTCTTCTAAAGAGGAGTTCCTCTTCAAATTCTCCTTCCTTCAGCTTTGATCCCCCAATCAATTGCTTCTCTTTTTTCCTCCTTATTCTTTTTCTTGATCTCAATTTTTAAGTGGCATTTAAAATGATATAATTACTAAATTATGCAAGAAATTAACTTATAAATCATTTTTTTAATTATTAATTCACTAATAATATTATATGAAATAATAGGCTCTAATAACAGAAGCTTTTTTGATAAGTCATATGTCCAATCAAATTTAAACAATTTAATTATTCAAAATTGATTGTTAACTTGTTATCACATAGCTAGAAGATTAATTAATTTCAAACTGAATTACAATTTATTAAAATTCATTTTAGATTGATCTAGTGATATTTTTCGATCATTTTACGTAACTACTCATATTTGGCTATTTCCTCTGATTAAACTCTGGGTCTACCAATATCAAATAATTTAATTGCATATATTTTCAGATTATGATTGAGATAATGCAAAATAAGCAAGATACCTTTATTTCTTTAATAATATTTTCATTTATTTGAATTATAACTAAGCATAAATAGCCAAATGCTTATAATTTAAATTCTAAAGAAGGGCAAAAATTTCATGTCTTGTTTCAAACATTGCAAAGTAAATTAATTCTAAGTTAAAACATCCAAACAGAATAATATAAATTTACTCCTTTAAGAAATTTTAATATATAATATTAAGAGGAAATTAAAATAAAAGTGTGACTCTCTTATAATTTTTCTCATTACAAATAAACAATAAGATATTTTATTACTCAAAATCAGAGTTAAATATATTTTGAGGGTGAACATCTTTGGACTCTTGTATTACCTTTAATGGATCACGTTTTTTTAAAATTCCAAAAATTAGATGAACTGGCTTAAGAACTAATTGAAGCCCTTGTATGTATTTTCACAATTAATGATAATAAAATAGATAATCTTTCAAAACTTAAATTTGGGTTTACTGGCTTAAGTTCTTCAATGAAAATCTTAATACATCGACAAAGAATCAAAAAAATTCATAGATTTAAACTAAATTTATTAAATGTTTTATAAATGCTTGTATTTGACTTTATAATTAATTTCTAGAATATAATAAGAATCAAGCAAAATATATTTTGATTAATTAATTACATGTTCTGAATGAATATTTAAAATATATGTGACTTAATTTTCACTTTAATAAAAAGAAAATAGAGAGAATTACTTCCAAAACATATTTCAATTCCTAGTTCAGTCTCATATTCATTATATACACCACAAATTCTGAATAATAAATAAATTATTCATACATCCCTTCATCTTAATAGGCATATATCCATTTTTTTCTCAAACCATTACTGTATTCTCCCATTCAATAAGCTTGTGCTTCACTAAAAAAATTCAAGAATTAAAGATTACTCCCAATATAACTTAAGATAATGTAGTCATTGATAGTATTTTAAAAGCAATTAAAATCTTGCACAGCATTTTCTTATAATCAAAACCAATATTCAAATATCAAATACACAAATTAACTCAAGAAAAAAGAAGGAATTCTTAAATGATTATTTTGAATTGCTAGAAAAGCATAACTGAATGTGTAGGGATAAAATTTTTAACAAACTTTTACCGATTTGTAAAAGCCAGCTTCAAATTACCTAAAATAGAAAATAAGAAATCATCTACATGGCTGGTAGTCAAATATTATGAGTGCACGATTATTTTTCAATAATAAGATACCATAATAAAAGCAACTCTAAAAAGCCTTAGATCACCTTCTATTTAGATTTAAGAAAAACATCATTGATTGGATTTGAAGGGGTCATCTACCTACTTTTAGCAAATCTTATTCATACAACCCAAATCGGCTTAATTCAAGTAACTATTTTATAAACATATTGTAGGCTCAATTTTTTCTTCCATGTTAGACTTTTGCTTATATTAATTCTTACTACTAACCAACTTATTTAATTACACTATGCATTTCAATTTCAAAAAGTAACAAATAATTCTCGAAAAAAATTCGCGCTTGCTCATGTTTTTACATTTGTTGAATTATTTAAATTACTACATTAACTAATTTCTAAGGTAATTTTAGTATTGTAACATATTTTCAATCTTCTCCCTATTTTCAATGATGCTAATTGCTATTTTTTAAAATAGCCTTCTAGACAAAATAGTCATTCCCAAAAATACGTGATTGATTTACTACACTTAGACATATTTTTATAAGTTGATTCCAACGAATGTAAAGCTAGGCTAATTGAAAAGCAAAAGGATATGTGATAATTATTTATAATCCAAATAGATGTAAATCAAGATAAATTAAATATGTTCAATTCTATCATGAAGTGGGCACCTTTTCTCTATCATTTTTTTCCTCTTTTTTTTTACATATTAAATGGATTATATAACAAAGAGCTGCAACTCCTGTTAAAAATCCATAAAAAATACTGAAACATCCAACATTAAGACCATAAAGTAATGCTAAAATTCTTTTAGTGCAATCTGATGTCAAAGACATGTTTTTTCTATGTTTCCAGCAGTAGAAGAATGAGATAATTACGACTATAATTTCTCCGATTATTGTTAAATACAATGCAGCACTCAAAGTTCCTGAGTCACGAATTTCAGAAGAATATTTATTAGAAGCGTATATCAAAAAACCAATAACACCAATAGATCCTACAACGAACCCAGCATACATTTCTATATATCCTCCTTATTTAATATAGTCATCAGAATGAGTTTTTCTAATGAATTAAATATAAATTAATTCGCAACAATTACAAAATAAGTTAATTGAAAAAAACACTAAAGCTAATATTTCTAATGAAGTTCCAAGAGTGCAGGCCAAATATGTTGTTCCTATGATTAACTACAACGTATCCATAATTTTAAAGCATCTTTCTCTATAAAAAATTTTTGATTCTCCTTGTGAAAAGTAATCTTTTTCAAAATATAAAATATAAATATGAAAAACCAACCATGCCACAATTTACGCTATTAATTCACTTAAAGGATAACTTTTTAAATCTCGCAAAATTATTACAATAACAAAAAATATTATTCTACATACCATTCCTATTGAAATGTTAATATCTAGTCTCTATATATCAGCAATACACTAGATTAATGAAAGTATTGCATCAACAGCATCCATTACATTATTAATTGCCATAAGTGTTAAAAAAATTAATTTTATTAATTGGTTAAGGTTAAAGGAGTCTATATACCTTAATGATATCAAAATTACATAATATTGAGTTTTTGAAGGTAAAATAGAGCATTTTTAGCAAATGTTTAGATGAAATGTTACATAAATTTGTTGGTTAAGTGGAAAAAAATAACTATTGCCTGCTCTAATTTAATAAGAGCGTTATCATAAATCACACAAGGTTTTTAAAAATAAAATTAGGATATAATCTTGTCAAATATACAGGTTTAATAATAATTACACTTTCGGTAAAATTTAAGATTGTTAAGAAGTAGAATCCGAATTAATCATGCAAACTTAGACTAGAAAAGAATCTAGTATTGGAATTTTTGACATCTTTAAGAAATACTTTAATTCAAATATTAATTTGTTTTTAAATTGGAAATTTTGAGATAACAGTAACTATCATTGATTAAATGCAAATAGGTTCAATTTGTAAAATTTTTTATAAACATTATCCATTAAACTCTTTGAATCAATTAATATCAATAAAAAAAGTAGCATGCTTTATTGTTGCTATTTAGTACAGTTTTAGATCCAGCAAACTCATATTCAAAACAATTGTAATAACACCAAACTATCGTTATGATTAATATTGTTACAATTATTTGCTATATGACTTTTTATCATCCATTCTCAACTTCCCATAACCTAATAGTTTTATGATCACTACCAGAGGCTAACATAGTACCATCAGGTGAAAACAGACTGACATGACACGATTAGTATGACCACCTAAATATGCTTATTATTCTCTTGTTCTAATATCCCAGATGCAGATAGATTTATCAAATCTCCCAGATGCTAATCCCATACAATCAGAAGAGAAACAGACTGTAATGAAATTATAACTATGACCGTCAAGTCTAGATTTTCTCTTTCTTGTCTTACAATTCCATAAACAAAAAAATTTGCCACTAGACAGACAGTTTAACCATTTTATTTCCTAAAAATACAGATTTTCTTTCTCCCATTCTCATACCAAAATTAAATGGTTTAATCGTAACCACATGCATCTTAGTAATTACCATTTGAAGAACAGCAAAACAAATTATGTTTTGCCTATATCCATTTAATTTATGTAATTCTATCTTTAAGTTTTCCATTTGCAATAAAATAACTAAGCTCCATATATCATTCCGCTTATATTTAAATTTTCAAATAAAGATCCACTCAAACCACACCAGAACTAAATTTATCCTATTAAAGAAGTATTTTTCCTGTCATTTTTCAAAATTTTTTGATTTTTTAAATCAACCTTCATTTCAACTATATTCAGCGAAGTAGTCTCACATTAAATAAACCTGTTATCTATAGACGTAAAGCCAACTAAAAATTTAAAAAATTAGATATTCAATTTTTCTTTTAATATTACTTTAGGTATATCTATTAAAGTCATGATCTATCATTTTTTTAATAGCATAAATAATTTTATTAATGTGATATTTTTCAAAATTTAACTTTAATTCCTTATCAATAATTGATAAATTTTTTATCATTAAATATTTATATATATCATTCTTTTTATTTTAATTATTTTCAGGAATTTAAGACAATCCTCAATCTTCTCTTTATATAATATTTGAATTATAATGCTGAAAATTTACCAATCAATATCTTGAAATCAATCTATAATTCTTAACAAATTTTCGTTCTAGTCGTAGTAGCTATTCATATTCCTGTCCACCTTTTGCTTTTAAAAATCATGTGCGGAATTTGAATTAATTAATATAAAAAATTTATCCCCAAATTAAACACAATCGATTATAAATGATCAATGGGTTTGATATTTTGTGATAGTTTTCCAACATTTTGAATAACGCAAAAATGATTTTAAGTATAAATTTAATTAATTTTTTTGTAATTAAAACATTTAATTAAAATATAATGCTAAAATTTATTGTGCTATTGAAGCAATCATTATTCTTAATTAAATAATTTTTTACACAGTGAAATGGCGAAGGTGAATTTTATTAATGTTCAAAAAAAAATCACATCATCAAATTAAATTGTTTTCTAAACTTAAATTAAACCCTTTCCATAAAATTAATCATTAATTTCACAGTTGAATTAATATGATTTTGAAATAAATTTAAACTCAGAATTTCAAACATTGAGTTCATAATTTTATAGATAAGAAATTTCACTATCATATTTTCTTTTTATTTAAGCATCTGTCAAATCACTTTATAAACCGAATTCACTCTAGTTTTCTAAATGCTCCTTAGTATCGCTCAAAATATATGTATTTCCTAGTTCAACTTCAACGTGGCTGCAATTCTTTTAAGAAAGTTTTCTTTTGAAATCCCTCCATACCATTTCAATCGAATTCATCTTAAAATATTATTACATAAATTTGTTTTTCTAGGTACAAATGTATAATCAAACACGAACACATAATTTCTTAATCCATATTTCTAATTACAAACTTGAATTAGTTTAATTAAATAATTTTAAACAAAAAAGCAGGAATATTAAAACTAAAGCATTAATACATTAAAAAAATCTTGCTCATTAATTTCTCATAATTGATATCATATAATTTAGTTACTATGAATAGGAAAAAAATGAAAGCTAATTTGTTAAATGCTTTTTTATTTTGAAACTTCCTCTGATGTTAAGTTCGATTACAAGCTAAGATTTTAGGATTAATAATTATCCCTAAGAATAAGAATGCAAATTTTGATAAGACTCTAGATGTTTAGGATTGAATTTGAAATATATTATATTTTCTTTATAGGCTCTCTCTGCCTTTGCGTAACTAAGGTGCAGGCTTTTCCTCGCTAAAAAATTCTTTGATTTCAGGGTTTTTTCAAAAGTCCTTGACATTACTTATTAAAGGATATTGATCACTTCAATTTAGTGATATTTCTCTGTACATTTATGTTCTGTCTAATAATGCCCCTACAAAATTTCTAATGTTTTTTGAGTTCATAAATTTTAATTCTTATAATATTTTTTAATTTATTAAACATTTTATGTAAAGTTTACTAAATCCTCTATTAGGCTTATAAGCACGAACATATCTCGGCAATAGACTTCATCATTTTAGGTATGTTGTACTTATATATTGCTAAATACGGATCAATTAGAAAATAAAAAATCTGAATTTATTACATATAGATTAGATGATATTAAACTAGAAACTTGCCAATAAATTTAAGTTATATTTTGGTAATTTTCTTTTTTGACAATTCAATTTTTTGTATTTTAATTATGAAATATCAAAGATATATTGGTGAATTTCCTAATTGAGAAATTCACCGAATAAAGATAACATCTTTGATATTTAATTTATCAAATCCATTAGTAATTATGTTTTCAAAGTGAAGCGTTTTCAGCGAATTTCTGAATTAGGAAAATCACTATATCTTTTATATTTCATAATTAAAATACAACAAATTATTCTTTATTTTGCAAAATATGAAATGGTGAGTCTTCTGAATCTTCCTAAATTGCTAAATCACCACTATATATATTAAATTTATTGGAAAATTTTCATATGTTTGCCTGCTTGACAACTGAATTAAAATATAACTAAATATCAATAAACAAATACCCACTTGGTTAAAATTAATAAGATGAATCAAGATTTATCAATTTTTATCAATTTATTAATTGCATTAGAAATTTATACTTCTTTAGGAAGAAATGGTAGAGTGAATGCTATTTAAAATAATTCTTAATTATTATCATTACTGTGTGAATATTAAGCTAAGCAGAAATATCTTAAATTAATATATATTTCTCTTTTAAATGAAAACTCAAGTTTCATGAAATCAAAAGTGTGGTTATTGACACAATTTATTAAGTTTTTAAATTACTTTTACACCTTACATTGCCTT